CCCCGCCCTCCCTCCAGATTTGGTACGATCCAAGCAAATGAGCCCGCTCGCGCCACCAATCCCGCGTTTAAACCGCCGACCAATGGGAAGCGAGAAGGCGGGGTTAAAGTGAAGATTAACAGGAACCAGAGCCTATCGCAAAGCTTAGAGCTACAGAACCGCCATTGGAGCCGTCCGACCACTCAGCGGCGAGGAGGCGGGGTTAATGTGAAGATTGACAGTAGCCCGAGCCAATCGCGAGGCGCAGCGCCCCGTCCCTCAGCGGCCGCCGCAGCCGCCGCTTCCTCCCTGCCCTCCTTCCTTCCGGCCGCCCGCCCTTCCGGGCCCCGCGGAGGGAACGAGGTTCCGGGGCGGCTCTGCCCGGCCCGGCCCGGCCCCGCGGGACAGCGCGGTTAGTGCCAGGACGCGTAGGAATCGCCGAGTGCAGGCACTTGGGAAAGTGTAAAATGTGTGACAGTGTAAAATGCTGCACTAAAAAGCTTACGGTAATTTCAAATTTTAGTTAAACTTTCAGGTTTTTCATGGAAGGAAATCCCCTCTCGCTCACCATGATGCAAACCAAACGAATGAGATAATGGCAACTTGATAAAGTGTTACGCTATTGGTGACTAGAAATACCAGGTAAGGTATTAAAAAGTAGTTTTCTACAGCAGGCAAACTATTAGCAGTTTACAGAAAGGAAATAAATCGTTGTTCCCATTAGAGCAGCCTTTACATTGGTTTAGCACAGTTCCCGTTTTGTAGCATTTCAATATAAAAAAATGAGCACACACACAAGTCTAATACGATACAGGATCAGCGAAATACAGACAGAGCTTACAGGTAGTGGTTAAACCATAAGCACACAACACAGAGCTAGTAGGGAAGTTTAAAATTAAACCCATGTTACTTTGAACTCTGATACACACTCATCCCACATTAAAAAGAAACCACTACATTTTTATTATGAGAAAAAAATCCAAACTTTTATTGATGCATTACTAGTTGCAATTCCCTGTGTTGCTCATTTATCAAAAGAACTGAAGAAGCCAAGAAAATTTCCAGCTATTTGCCACTACAAATATATTTGAGGACTAAGGTACCTTGAAAAACCTTCATCATTCAATTTAGTGGAATGGACTACAGGAAGCTGACACTCCAGACACTACCTACAGGCATTCAAATTCCACTTGCTGCCTATATAAAGAATTTGAAAGATGTTGGTGAAAATTCATTCCCTTACAATCCAAATCTCAAAGTATGTACAACAAAGTTAATGACTACTACCAGTATGAGGCCATGCCCCTGTCTGAAAATGAAATGTAATTTACTATTTTAGAGACTTGGTATCAAAGTTCCTGCTAACTACAAGCTGAACTTTAGCGATCTACTCTGATTTAAAGGCCAAGGAAAGAAAAGGCCTTTTTGATAGAAAGACTACATTAGACCAAAAGCCTTGCCTTAGCTGCAGCAATAACTCTGGGATTAAAAAGCCAGTGCACTAAGCTGCTGTCAATCAGAAAGATATCTAACTTAAAGCTAAGCCTTGCTTCATTTTTCCTGAATGGCACTCAAGCAACATGTTTCCTGGGCAACCGCAAAATTAATTTTAGTGAAGAGCATCACCCTTTACTGTCTATTCTACTTGGCTAATTGCTTGTGTAGTTCACAAGTATCAAAGAAACAAGCCACAGTTGAGAAGGAGACAGGCACAATTCAGTTTTTGATTAACAGGTTTCTTCAACGCTTGTTTTCAAATCTTATTTTAAACATTCACTATTGATAAATTTTCTATTTCAAACAGTAAAAATGCCATCACACTTGTGCGAACACTAAATGAAGCGTATCGAGGCACAAAGAAGCCAGAAGGAATTCAAGTAACAGTCAGAAAGTAATTTGGAAGATGCATTTTCTTCTAAATCATAGGGGTCCTTTCCACTCTATTAAAAATAAACCAATTTTCCCACCCCCACAAATTAAACAGCTGATTTGCCTATATATACATATCAAGTAATAAGATACCAGCTTAATTTTTTGGGGGTATCGTATCATAAAAGATGACAATTTTCTATAAAAGCTAGTCCTTGAATGCTTGAAATGTGTACCCACCAGCTAAGTATGATTTAAGAGAAATTTGTTTTTTAAAAAACCAAAAATATATGTTTCTCCATAGTACCTAATGGCAGCTAAAATATAAGGATAATTTTTACAGTGAACTGGTCATAAAAAGAAAATTATTTTAAACTGTTACTCTATAGATAACTTTAATAAAAAAAGCCCCAAAATATTTGATATTTTGAATGAACCTATCGATAGTGAAGAAAGAAAAATAGTGTTAGAACACTACAGACACTCCTACTGACATCACACTGAATAATTACAACTTTTGGTAGTTCATTATAAATCCTGTAAAAATCTTTCTATGAAAAATGCAATGTTCCCCCATCCCAAAGAAATTTAAACAGCTTTTACAAAAAAAAAGAAAAAAAAAAGAAAAAAAAAAGAAAAAAAAAGGTGTTTTAAGATGCATTTCTTTTAGCTTGTATGATATAGCCTTTGGACTTGATAATTCCTCTGCTTTTAACAATGACTGAATACCGCAGAAGCCATAAAGGAATCCACTTGTTTGCTTTCACATTCTGGATGCTTTCCTGGAGAACTTCTTGGAAACTTGCTTCACAAAGTAATTCTGAAGTTAAAAAGGGATATTGGTGCTTAAAACAATATAATACAAACAGCTGCAAAAAACAACACTTAGTAATGAGAAGCCTCTTCCTACAGTCAAGATCTTAAATGGTACCACATACCCTTCACATCCACTCTTCCAGAAAGCATTTAGGGTAAAAGCAGCCAATATTACAAAGTAAGTCTCCAGGACTCTTTTTTGCAACACTGAGTGTGTCCCACAAAACTGAGACTCTGGAATATCAGATGGAGTTGATCAGCAGAGTCATCAGTGGGAGAAAATGAAAATGAAATTTGAGAAGCTAGCTAGACAAACCAGAGGTGACTAAAGCGTATGGCTGAAATCAGCAACGTACTGAGCATCCAGTTACCTCTGCAATCACTGGAAACCATTTATAGTATCTCCCATAACTGGCCTCATAGTAACCATAAGCCCAGAAAGCTTTAAGAAAAATGGGCTTAAATACCACAAAGCAGAGAAAGAAGGCAAGTACAAATCCTCCTAGTTTCCGCTGTAATTTTCATCAAGGGAACAAGGTAAGGAATGCTAACAAAAAATAGTCTCAATACTCTTCAGCTGACCATTACAGAAAAGTCAGGCTGAGCAAACAACATATAAAGGAATCACCATTTGTGCTGTTTTCTATCAAATCTTCTTCTCCTTAATTTCATGACTTTCAATGGATACTATTTATGAAAATGCAAGTTGCATTTGGACTTCAGAGGACATGGAAATGGTCAGATTGAATGGAGATTCATCATATCACTGCCAC